CAGAACTGACTGCCCCTTGGGAAACCTCTGCTCTCTCCTGTGATGCTGCAAAATAACCAATGCGTTTTTAAAAGCTTCTGCTAACCGAGGAGCACAGAACTCAAAACAGCTTGAAGGAATGAGAGAAGGCATCAAAACCAGTCTTTGATCTTAAAACCACTGGAGATTTCCTGGGAAATTATCCTCCCAAACTCTCTTTCATGGGAAGACAAAGGGAGCAGAAATCAAATGGTTTGCCTACAGGGAAAGGAGTATGTCAAGGCTGTATATTTTCACCCCGCTTATTTAACTTATATGCAGAGTACATCATGAGAAATGTTGGGCTGGATGAAGCACAAGCTGGAATCAAGGTTGCTGGAAGAAATATCAATAACCTTAGATATGCAGATGACACCACCTTTATGGCAGAAAGCGAAGAAGAACTAAAGAGCCTCTTGAGGAAAATGAAAGAGGAAAAAAAAATAATAATAATTACATGGGACTGAAAAAAAAAAAAGAAAGAAAATGAGAGAGGAGAGTGAAAAAGGTGGCTTAGAACTCAACATTCAGAAAACTAAGATCATGGCATCTGGTCCCATCACTTCATGGCAAATAAATGGGGAGACAGTGGAAACAGTGACAGACGTTATTTTGGGGGGCTCCAAAATCACTGCGGATGGTGACTGCAGCCATGAAATCAAAAGACGCTTGCTCCTTAGAAGAAAAGTTATGACCCACCTAGACAGTCTATTAAAAAGCAGAGACATTACTTTGCCAACAACCGTTTGTCTAGTCAAAGCTATGGTTTTTCCAGTGGTCATGTATGGATGTGAGAGTTGGACTCTAAAGAAAGCTGAGCACTGAAGAATTGATGCTTTCAAGCTATGGTACTGGAGAAGACTCTTGAGAGTTCCTTAGACGAAAAGGAGATCCAACCAGTCCATCCTAAAGAAAATCAGTCCTGAATATTCATTGGAAGGACTGATGCTGAAGCTCCAACACTTTGGCCACTTGATGTGAAGAATCAACTTATTGTAAAAGACCCTGATGCTGCAAAAGACTGAGAGCCGGAGAAGGGGGTGACAGAGGATGAGATGATTAGATGGCATGGTTGATTCTATAGATGTAAGTTAAAGTAAACTCCGGGAAATCAAGGGCAGGGAAGCAAGGCATGTTGCAGTCCATGGGGTTGCAAAGAGTTGGACATAATTGAGCAGTGGAACAATAATAATAATGCAGAGGTTCACAAAGAAATATGACTGTAAGGGGTGACTACAACTGGGAGTTGATATCAGCCAGTTCAGTTGCTCAGTTGTGTCTGACTCTTTGCAACCCCATGGACTGCAGCACACCAGGCTTCCCTGTCCATCACCAACTCCCGCAACTTATTCAAACTCATGTCCATCGAGTCAGTGATGCCATCTAACCATCTCATCTCTGGCGTCCCCCTTTCCTCCTGCCTTCGATCTTTCCCAGCTTTAGGGTCTTTTCCAGTGAGTCAGTTCTTCACATCAGGTGGCCAAAGAATTGGAGTTTCAGCTTCAGCATCAGTCCTTCCAATGAATATTCAGGACTGATTTCCTTTAGGATTGATTTGTTGGCTCTCTTTGCAGTCCAAGGAACTCTCAAAATTCTTCAAAACCACAGTTCAAAAGCATCAATACTTCAGTGTTTTCTTTATAGTCCAACTCTCACATACATACATACAACTGGAAAAACCATAGCTTTGACCAGACAGACCTTTGTTGGCAAAGTAATGTCTCTGCTTTCTAATATGCTGTCTAGGTTGATCATATATTTTCTTCCAAAGAGCAAGCATCTCTTAATTTCAAGGCTGCAGTCACCATCTGCAGAGATTTTGGAGCCCAAAAACATAAAGTCTCATAATGTTTCCATTGTTTCTCCATTTGCAGTGAAGTGATTGGACCAGATGCTATGATCTCAGTTTTCTGAATGTTGAGCTTAACACAACTTTTGCACTCTCCTCTGTCACTTTCCTCGCTTTCTGCCATTAAGGGTGGTGTCATCTGCATATCTGAGATTATTGATATTTTCCCAGCAATCTTGATTCCAGTTTGTGCTTCATCCAGCCCAGCATTTTGCATGATGAACTCTTTATATAAGTTAAATAAGCAGGGTCACAATATAATAAAGCCTTGACGTACTCCTTTCCCAATTTGGAACCAGTCTGTTGTTCCATGTCCAGTTGTTGCTTCTTGACCTGCATACAGATTTCTTAGGAGGCAGGTCAGGTGATCTGGTATTCCCATCTCTTTAAGAATTTTCCAGTTTCTCCTGATCCACACAGTCAAACACTTTGGTGTAGTCAAGAAAGCAAAAGTAGATGTTTTTCTGGAACTCTCTTGTTTTTGTGATGATCCACTGGATGTTGACAATTTGATTTCTAGCTCCTCTACCTTTTCTAAATCCAGCTTGAATATCTGGAAGTTCACGGTTCACAGACTGTTGAGGCCTGGCCTGGAGAATTTTGAGCATTACTTTGCTAGCGTGTGAGATGAGTACAATTGTGCAGTAGTTCAAACAAGCTTTGGCATTGCCTTTCTTTGGGATTGGAATGAAAATGGACCTTTTCCAGTCCTGTGGCCACTGCTGAGTTTTCCAAATTTGCTGGCATGCCGAGTGCAGCACTGTAATAGCATCATCTTGTAGGATTTGAAATAGCTCAACTGGAATTTCATCACCTCCACTAGCTTTGTTCATAGCGATGCTTCCTAAGGCCATGACTTCACCTTCCAGGATGTCTGGCTGTACATGAGTGATCACACCTTTGTGGTTATTTGGATCATGAAGATGTTTTTTGTACAGTTCTTCTGTGTATTTTTGCCATCTCTTCTTAATATCTTCTGCTTCTGTTAGGTCCCTACCATTTCTGTCCTTTACTGTGCCCATCTGTGCATGAAATGTTCCTTTGGTATCTCTGATTTTCTTGAAGAGATCTCTAGTCTTTCCTATTCTATTGTTTTCCTCTATTTCTTTGCGCTGACCAATGAGGAAGACTTTCTTATCTCTCCTTGCTATTCTTTGGAACTCTGTATTCAGGACACTATATCTTTCCTTTTTTCCTTTGCCTTTAGCTTCTCTTCTTTTCTCAGCTATTTGTAAGCCCTCCTCAGACAACCATTTTGCCTTTTTGATTTCTTTGTTCTTGGGAATGGTCTTGATCACTGCTTCCTGTACAATGTCATGAACCTCGGTCCACAGCTCTTCGGGCACTCTATCGGATCTAATCCCTTGAATCTATTTGTCACTTCTACTGTATAATCACAAGGGATCTGATTTAGGTCATACCTGAATGGCTGCAAAGAATGTATTCCATCTGACTTCAGTATTGACCATCTGGTGATGTCCATGTGTAGCATCTTCCCTTGTGTAGGTGGAAGAGGGTGTTGGCCACGACCAGTGCGTCCCCCGGGAAAACTGTTGGCTTTGCCCTGCTTTGTCTTGGACTCCAAGGCCAAAGTTGCCTGTTACTCCAGGTATCTCATGACTTCCTACTTTCTCATTCCAGTCCCCTACAATGAAAAGGACATCTTTTTTGGTAGTTAATTCCGGAAGGTCTTGTAGGTCTTCATAGAACGTTCAACGTCACCTTCTTCAGCATTAATGCAATTACTGCGAGTTGATACACTACTTAATAGTTGATAGGGAGTAGGAGAAAAAGGCATCTTCTGAAAAACAGGTGACTTGTCTTGTGCGAGGCACTTATGGGAGAACAGATAACATTTAGGAAGGGAAATGGTACCTTATATCCCAGAGGATATATGGGAGAGAGGGGAGTTTTGTCATAATGTCTGTTTGTCGGGTGCTTTTTCTAAAAAAAGAGTCTTTCCCAAGACTTTTTCCAAAAAGCAAAGCAAAAATACATAGATTGGTAGATAGGTAAAGATAAGGTGAAAAGTCTTAGGCAAATCTTCTTTATCCATGAGGAACTTTCTCTAATTTTAACACTGTCTCCAAAAGTAAATCAAAAGCCAATTAAAACCGACACAAACGCATTCCTTTCTATCGTTGAATAATACACAGCTTCTTTATCCATTCATCTATGATGGACATCTAGGTTACTTCTATGTCCTAGCTACTCTAAGTAGTGCTGCAATGAACACTGGGGTACATGTGTCTTTCTGGAATCTGCTGTATGATGCAGGGAACCCAAAGCTGGTGCTTTGTGGCAACCTAGAGGGGTGGAATGGGGAGGGAGGTGGGAGGGAGGTTCAAGAGTGAGGGGCCATACACATACCTATGGCCAATTCAAGTCAATGTTTGGCCACAATATTGTAAAGTAATTACCCCCTAATTAAAAATAAAAATGATAAAAAGTTAAGTCATTTAAAAGGTAGAAGCTCAGGCAAATCTTATTTCCCCATGAGGAAAGGCCTATGAATGTGTGTTTAAAGATACATATAGTAAGTTTTATGTCACTATTAACAATTGTAGTACATCAAAACATTGACGGAAGCCAAAACAGCAGTATCTAAATCTTTAGGTCTACACAGGGTGATAAAAACTGGAAAATACAAAAATGCTACCAATCAACACCAATAAATATTAACGACATGTCTGGTTGCTTGGGTGCTGTTTAAACAGTTGGTGTTAGGGCTCTGTTTGAGTCTGTAAAGGGCGTCCCTGGTGGCTAAAATGGTAAAGAATCCACCTGCAATGCAGGTGACCTGGGTTTGATCCCAGGGTCTGGAAGATCCCCTGGAGAAGGGAAGGGCTCCCCACTCCAGTATTCTTGCCTGGAGAATTCCATGGACAGAGGGACCTGTTGGGCTACAGTCCTTGGGGCCGCGCACAGTCAGACATGATTGAGTGACTGACTCAATCACTTAGAATATGGAAAACTCACCAGTGCTGATGTTTAAATCAGCTAAAAAGTTAGAGGCTGAGAAACATCACTTAAAATGCTACATAAATTTTCATCATACACACATAATACAAAAATATTTTCCTTTAATAAAGCTTTTCTCATCATGTTTAATGGGAAACAAAGAAATGCCATGTTCAGTAGGGAAAAGTTTATTATTTATCTTTCTAAATCATGTATCTTTCCTTCAAAATCTGTATATCTTGTTCTTCTGTTTACAAAAGTAGGTCATCACACACATCTGGCTCATCTACAGAGCCTCGAGAAGACAGTCTAAAGGCATCAGATGCAAACTGAGCATCAGCTGAAAGAAAAGGAAAGAATTATATTCTTTACTTAAAATACTTGGGTTAACTAAGATTAGTTAAAAACAAACAAACACACAAAAAACCAAAGAGACCTCTCCTAGTATTCTGAAATGTGAAATCTATCTACTATGACAAAACATAAAATACTAATCAAGATTACAATTTTCTAATCTGCTTATGGTCACAGGTGGGCTGAGTATCAGAGAACCTGGTTTTCTCATCTTTCATGCGTTTACTCAGTAACTCTGTGCAAAGGTTCTGTGACAAACAGTGGAATGACAAGATGAAGGTGACCCCGTCCGCCCTGAAAACTGGTATCCCCTAAACTGGAGAAACAGACAAACAGGCCATTTCCATACAGAGTCTTCAATACTAAGACAGAAAAGATGGCACAAGGAACAAACAGGAGGGGCAGCCAGCTTTGTGTCCATCCTGGCGGCTTTCTGGTGGAGGTGATATGCATGTCGCTACCTGAAGGACAGGAAAGGACAAGAGGCAGAGGGCAGAAGCCGGACAGAGACTGCAGGGGCGCAGGCGAGTCTGTGGGATCCTGCATGGTCGGGTGGGCAGATGCGGAGCTGAGGGGCAGAGTAAGGTGGTGAAGAGATGAGGCCGACTGCTTTGGCGGGACCCAAATAGATGTGGGTGTGTGGAGCTGAGGCCGACTGCTTTGGCGGGACCCAAATAGATGTGGGTGTGTGGAGCATTTCCTGAGGGTGAAAGATAAACTGGTGACGCATCAGTGGCAGGGAAACTTTAGTCACCCACCCGGTGACCGCTGAACACGCGTGACTGCCTGAGTCTGCACGTCCCAGCCTTAACCACCACCAACACAGAGACGGTGTGGACGCCACACTTTCTGAGAATGGTGTCAGGGGTAGGAAGACAGCTCCACAGGGATGGAGGAAGTAGGAGGAGGATACAGCTAGAAATAAAAAGAAATACATAGACCTTCAGAGATTGTCTTACAAGCGGTGGTGAAAGTCAAAGTGAAGTTGCTCAGTCGTGTCCGACCCTTTGTGACCCCGTGGACTGTAGCCTACCAGGCTCTCCGTCCATGGGATTCTCCAGGCAAGAGTACTGGAGTGGGTTGCCATTTCCTTCTCCAGGGGATCTTCCTGACCCAGGGATCGAACCCGGGTCTCCCGCATTGCAGGCAGACGCCTTAACCTCTGAGCCACCAGGGAAGCCCTCCATACGCTCAAGGGAGCCACCACACCTCCAGGTACAGTACATGGTGAATAAAGAAGGAAGAAGGGTATTTTTCACTATGACTGCTCATGCTTTCACATTTTTCCTTAGCTATGTATAAAAAAAAAATTCACATAGCATCTGTTATCCAAACAATGGAAAGAGATGCCATTTATTGTTTACAATGTATTTCAGAAATCAACGTCTACATTTAATTCATACATTTTGGTAACATACCTTCTCTTATTCCTCTAGCTATACTCCTGTCCAACTCCCGCTGCATCTGAAATAAGTCAAATATTTATCTTTAAGATAAACAAGTTATACATTTATAACTTATTAAATGTGACTTTTAAATACTTTTAGAGACTAGACCTAACCTGAAGATTACTTCAGTAGAAAAAAAAAAATCACATAAATCAAAGAAAATGAATTCCTACTGATTCTGCTTATAGATAACAGAGAATATATACAAGGAATGCTATTTAGACTAATCTGATAAAAAGTACAATAAATATCAGTCTATCAAGTACACATAATTTCAGAGAATTAGGGAATGACCCATAATCCTCGGAATGACCCACAAGATGCCTATCTTCTCCCCTAAAAGCTCCTGGCCTAAATATGTACCTCCAAGACTTCATTTTGATTTCTAGGTGAGGATCCTGTTCAAATGGAGGAAGTAGTGTGAGTCAAATGTTAATAAGGAGAACACATCTGTGACTTTCTTTAAACTTTTCCATTTAAAGAAAACACAGAAAGCGGAGAAGATTATACACAAGAAAACAATGTACCAGCAGGATTTAATTCTGAAGATGTTTAGCGAGAAGGATTCTCTCCTAAGTGTTAGTCTCTGAACTATGTCCCATAGAAGGGGAAGGCCCCACAGGGGTCACTGCAGGGTGGAGAGACAGAGAAGTCACAGTCGCAGGGGCTCTGGACGCTCTTTAGCCGAACATTCTATACTTGTCTCCATTTTATATAACACGGTTCCACGCAGAAGTTTTTTTTAAAGAAAGGCTGCTTCCTTTGAAGAAAAAACCTTCTGTAAGGGATGAGACTCATTGATTTACTCAAAGTTCCTAATTCGACAAAAGAAGTAACAAAGCCAATGGCCTTCTTACTGAGTCCTATGCCAGCTACTTCCTCAGGTTAAGAAAAAACACACAGATTTTTCACTATAACATAGACACAATGAATATGTAAATCCTTCTTATATAATTAAACAATGTTTGTGGCATGACATGACTTTCTAACTAAATTATGTGCCTTAAATGCATAAATAAGAATAAATCAATATCAAACTCCTATTTGGAGCAATCAATATAGTTAATTTAGAAAGGATAAATATGTTTTAAAAACAGGACAGGGAACGTGAAGGAGAAAATCTTTATTTGAATCAAGCAGGCCAAAACTGAAGAGATTTGTCCTTCAAAGGATGTTTGCTTCCTCCAGATAAAACCTGGTGAACTAAAATTAGTCAACAATGAATTATCCACATTTGGGGTTATTTAGAACAAAATTTAAAACACACAACAGATCCCTCTTTACTGTCTAGCATACTTCTATCCAAGCTCTCATCATTAGTTAGTTGATACAAAAAGGATGAGTGTAATCTCAACTATAATCTAAATCCGGTCAGAAATTACAGTTGAACTTCATTTCCTCAGCCTGAAGTTTCAAGGGGATGACTTATACTCCTACCCTCTGTGTGAGAAGAGAGGAGATTTATCTAACGGGTGAGTTTGGGACAAGGAACTAACAAGAGCTTGCTGGTTCCAAATCTCTTCTTTGAAAAGATGTTATATGTTGGAGAAGGAAATGGCAACCCACTCCAGTATTCTTGCCTGGAAAAATCCACGGACAGAGGAGTCTGGCGGGCTGAAGTCCATGGGATTACATGACTGAGCATGTGTGCACGAGGGTGGAGGGAGATGGGTTGGTAGCAATAAACTGGTAGAACTAAAAAAAAAAAAGATGTTATGTGCCCACAGCATCGTGAACTTGGGTCTGCAGTAGGCAGCCTGCCCCCGGGACGGGGGTCAAGCACTTGCCTCCTCCTCTTAGGCCTGCCTGGGGAAGTGTCTGACTTGGGATGAAGTGCTCGGAGGCCCGCTGGGAATGCACAGCTAAAGCACGTCCTCCAGGTTCACGGCTCTCAAGTACTAAGACCCAACGTAGCCACAGTGCTGTCGAAGAAACGTTATGATGGCAAGAAGTCAAATGAGAAAACAGGCTGAGACTGCATTTAACAAGGGCTACTTTTCTCTGCATCACGAACATCACAAAACCCTATCAAAACGATAAACCCGTGTGCACTGACTGAAATGGATATTTTAACCACAATGATTATACAATGAAAACTGGTTGCAATTTAAACACTACCCATCATCCCTATCTTTCATACCATTCATCCAGGTGATGTCAAGATAGAGATAAAGTGAGCTTCATTTATAATTTTTAAATGTTTCCATTAAGCACAAATTCAGAAACATTCTACAACTGCTCAGCAAGATAGCTTTTAGAAATTTAAATCAAAATTCTATAAGGAAAATGGCAATTAAAGACGTACTCTTGTACAAGAAAATAACAAAAAATGTTCACCCAAACCCAGAAATTAATCTTTTGATTTAGTATTACCAGTTTGTTTAATTCATTAAAAAGGGTTTATCGAGGATTTCTTCAAGTGAAAAAACACCCATATGAGGTTAGTGTTTAGATGCCAGTGATTCACTTATGCTTAGGGGGAGATAAACTGTGGTGGGTGCAACAGAGCTCGGAAGTGAGTATGAACCACTGCCAAAGTGAAATCAACTAGGAAGTAAGTCAAACATCTTAAAGTATACTTTTAATTACTATGCAAAAAGATTTCATTTCTAAAGTAGAATTTCAAGGCAGCTTTTCAAGAAATTTTAAAAGTTAAGTATCTCTTAGAAACGAGAGCTCTAGGACAAAAAATCATTAAATGTCTCCTTGATTAGCACAGTTAATGATAGCTTTTACTGAGTGTGCATGAGACAAAAAAACAACTCAGAAGTTCACCAAATTGAAAACAAGGATCATTCATAACAGAAATGTGACACCCAGTGAAAAAAAATAGAATAGAACTAACCTTGGTCAAGTAAGTCTCCATGCTGTCATCTGAACTGCGTGGAATTGAGGTAGAGAACCCTCCATGTGCTCTTAGAGTAAGACTTCCATGGAACACTAAAGGATTATTGAAATTTCCAACACAAGGGGGCTCCAGGACTGGCCTCATGCTAAGAGTCCTGAATGAAGATCTGTTCTGCTTCTCCACCTCAAGTTTGGTGCTGATCTCTGCCAGCCTCTCATGAAACCTGGGGAAGATGGAAAACACCAACTTTGCTCATGTTTCCCTAAATGATTTTCATTTTTTAAGTTGCCGTATAATAAACGGAATTCCCATTAAAATGTTTGAACCCTGAAGACATAGAGCTGGCCTCCTGTAAACAGTGACAGCTGTGACCTTGTTCTAAAGAAGCACACGTGTGTCTGGGGCTCCTCAGGTAGCAAGTCACCGCTGGGAGAGGAGAGAAAGGGCATCAGAGAGAAAGGGAGGTGGGCCCACAGTGACCCCTGCTGCCTCTGGGACACGCCTGCCCTCAGGAAACAGTGCAGGGGTGAAGGGACACGCCTCCCACAAAGCCGCGTTCACACAAAGCCGCGTTCAAGCATTTGCTTTCACCACCCTTCTGTACACGTGTCACTCACGACCTTGGAGAAATTAAGCATGTGGCTCTGAGGTATCACCTAGAGCCACAATCTCAAGGGAGGATGAGGAAGTCAAAGGGTGAGCCTGAAAAGAGCTAAAACAGCCTCAGCAACAATTACAGGTATCCCCTGCTTTTCCAAAGTGCACCTATGTTACTCCGCTTATAGGAAAGGCCTACATCAGCATCTGTTTTTGATAATCGAAAAAAAATTTTTTTTTTTGAAGAGGCTTTTTGGTTTCATATAAAAAGGTTCAGTGTGCGTTTTACAGAGAGGCACATCGAGCTCCCCAAGCAGGGAGACTGGTCCCACTGAGCTCCTTCCCGGAAGCCACACCCCACATCTCAGGTCAAGTTACCTATCTGTGCTTCACTGTGAGCACCTGTGCTTCACTTGTGCATATTCATTTCATGTACCGACTAGCAGAATGTGTCCTTGGGTCCCTGCTGCTTTGCTTTATGCTGTTGGGCTTATGGAAGGCTTCCTAGGAAAGATGGACTCGGCCCTGAGGTGCGATCTGCCCTTTCAGTCCTCCACACCCCTCAGTCAGGTCACCATGCTATTTCTAGCCAGTCTGTGAATTATCCTGCCTTTCGCCCCTGTGTTCATTGCCCCCAGACTCGCAAGCATACCTTTATGCAGTGTAGAAAAACTTACAAGGACACAGTATTTATAGCTTGTCCTAGGGCGCCCTCTAGCAGTGACCATCTAGTCAGCAATCACTTCCTATTAATCTCATGTATCCCACTCTATAAAAATTAGGCTTTAGAGACAAAGTAATGAACTAAATGTAGTTTCTGTGATTCTGTGTTTTGACTTACTTGTCTAGTTTATCTTCCAATGACTTTCTCACTTCACATTCTGCTAGGTAGAGTTGCTTATATTGTTCCAATGCTGCTTTATGAGAATCTTCTTGCAAAGTTTTCATTTTGAGGACTTGAGATTCCAAGTCTTTAATTCTGAGGTCCAGCTGTTGAGATCCAGCTTGTGTCTAAGGCACATTGAAAAAGATAATATTTTAAAAATAATCATTAACCTGGAAGATTATATTTGTTCCCTTTGTTTTCAGTCAGTGATTCAGAGAGCGATTTTAAAGGTGAAAAAAATAAAAGAGCAGAAGTTTAAAACAATTATCAATGTTAAGTGGATTAAATCCGAATTATGAAACTCAAGTGGAATCACTGCTATAGTAGTACTTATATAATCTGATAATACAAAGAATAAGAGGATCAACTTAAAATTTTAAAAATTGAACAAGACAACTTAAGACTAATTCAAGAAAATGGTACCAGTTTTAAACCACAATATTTTCTTTTCTTCCTAATGCTCTTGTTTTTTTTACCAATTGGTGTTATAGAAGAAAGGATTCTCTAGTGAGAATCATTCTGAAAGGTCAATTTAGTGATAACGGTGATGGAAACGGAAAGTTTTAAAGGGAAAACAAGCGCCCCCCTTCCTTCCAGAAATCTACAAAACTAACTGCTCTAAGGGAGGGAGAGGAAACATATAAGCTGTATCCATCCAGAACGTAATGCACAGTGAGAGCGAATTCCAGCACATGACAGAGCAACAAATTAACCTAGAAAAACAGGCTGACTTCTTTTAATTTCTCTACGAGATCCTATCTCGCTCTTTCTTCAGTCCCCTGTTGATACTGCTCTATTTGACTGTGTTCCATCATATTCATTTCTATAGGACTTTTGAGGTTCACTACTTCTCGCTAAAACTTCTTTTTCTTCTCTCTAGTTTTTTACATTTCTTTTCCATTCATTTCATAGATAAAAACTCCTGTTGAAAAACTTGATTTTTTGCATCCAGGTGCAGACATTTGGAAGATGCAGTTTCCAGCTCTGCCGGAAGATCATCACTCTTCAAGAATAAAATGATACCATTTGCTAATGAAGAAAGTGGACTGAGCACAGCCTTACTCAAACCCAGGATCAAATACATACGATGGTACCTGTTTTGTAGAATGGAGGACCAGGGATTACTCAGAGAATCAAGAAAGAAGTTCAAACCACCAAGAGTCACAGAATATATTCTTCACTGTCATCTTTGTCACACAATAATTGCACTTGATTTTACACTCTTGTATTGTTCTACAAGAACATGTTTCTATCTTTCCTCATGAAATGACTACAAGTCATTGCTTAGTAGAATGTCTCTTACTCCTCCCCCCAACTTAATGTCCCAGGATTTTAAAGAAGTTTGAGGGATACTGTATTGAGTTATTTAGGGCTAAGTTATTAAATGCCTCCCAAAAGAAAACTGTGAGAATAAGACTCTAATTGATAAATCTTGTAAATATGGATTCTAATCCCATAAGCCTTGCTCTGAAGTACAAAGACTTTTTGCTAATTTGAATTGCATTCCAAAGAGAAATTATTTGCAAGGTTAAAGAAATCCCATTTCCTGACAGTGTACAGAGATGATCCACACATTTTTCTCAACAGTAACAACAAAAAATGCCTCATTCTTGTAATCCTTTGTTACTGTCCATTGATGCAAGACAAGTGCTGTGCATATGAATAAATATTCCCTGTTACACCAGTGTATACTCAGCCAAGATTTCCCCTCATGGAAAAAACGTCAACAGTGTCAAATGAGGAGCTAAACTATTCCTCAGAGACTAGATAACAAGGGCTGATGTGAAAAGGTCAATGAGAGCTGGACAGTCAGGAAAGCTCCACGAAGGAGGAGAGACTGGGCGCCAGGTCTGAAATAATGAAGGCCTACCCAAGAGGAAACGAAACTGTAAAGACAGAAAGGCCAGTCTGAGCAAGGGCCAAGAAAGGGTGAAATCAGCCAGCTAACTCTGAGGATAAGATCCAACCATGGGAAGTAAAAACATGCCCACACAGAATCATGAAAATCAATGTTCACAACAGCATTATTAATAGCCCCATAGTGGAAACAACTCAAAGCTCCATCAACTGATGAATGGTTAAATGGCTTAGCTTACTGTTGCTTGACAACCAACAGAAAGAGAAGAACTGACATGTGCTATCACATGCATGAACCGTGAAATCATGATGTCAAATGAGGAAAGCTAATCCCAAAGGAGCATAATGCATGATTCCATTTATATAAAATACTGAGAATAGGTATGTCTACAGAGACAGATATTAGACTAGGGGTTGCCTGGGGCTGAGGGAGATGGGAGGTCACGGGTGGCAGCTAAGGGATGCAAGGTTTCTGTTGGGGGGTGATGGAAATGCTCTAAAATTGACCGTGGTCACAGGTTACACCTCTCTAGACTAAGAGACACTGAACTACACATGTTGAGTGGGTGAATTCTATGGAACATCAATTATATCTCAATAGCTTTTTCAAAGAAATCCAATGGCAGGATCCAGATAATCTTCTTCATTCTCTAGTTTGGATGTATGTATTCTACACTGTCTGAATACGTCCATGCTTTTACAATATACTTAACAAGAAAAGGAAAGAAGGCAATGCCTAAACTTCAACCGGTTTGTATAATACCCTTTCTGCACAAGTTAATCTGAAATCCATGAAATAAATATACATAGAACTCTACAGCCATTCACATAAGGGAAGATGAGAAATGATAATTTTCTGAACGTTCCATTAAACTAATATTATCCGCTGATTTTAATCTGGCTTGCCTCATCACGGGAATACATCTATCACTTTATTTTTTTTTCATTTATTTTTATTAGTTGGAGGCTAATTACTTCACAATATTGCAGTGGGTTTTGTCATACATTGACATGAATCAGCCATGGAGTTACATGTATTCCCCATCCCGATCCCATTATCAGAAAATGATAATTTTCTGAACATTCCATTAAACTAATAATATCCTCTTTTTTTAATCTGGCTTGCCTCATCATGGGAATACATCTATCACTTTAAAAAGTATTGTTTCAAAGAAAAAAAAAAGGCTCTCAACTTGTGTGAACAATGAGGCACAGTTCTCAACTTTCCTAAGGGGAAATAATAGAAGAAAAAAATAACTTAATGCAGATGGCAGGATGAAAGTCAGAGTTTAAGAAACAAGTGCATTATAAAGATAAGAAAATTGGAGTAAGTTACTCGTAACAAAAATACAGGAGAAAGCTGACCATGAAAATGAGTGTCCTAAAACACTTTATCCTACATATGAACTGTCAACACGTTCAATTTCCTACATACCTGACTTGTGAGTTGACATAGTTGTAATTTAAATATGTTCTTTAAATCCAGTGCCTCAGCTTCTAAGATAGCACGACACCATGACGTGCCTTTCGGCGAAGCATCCGGCATAGACAGCTTTTTTACGGTGTCATCCAGTTCTTGTCGAAGTTGTCTCACAAGTGCCTAAGAAGATGCTCTGTCACTGAGTTTATCAAATCACTTGACCATTACATCATGCTAATAATAGATAACTCCAACATATGGACTTTGAAAACTCTCACCACACACAGCAACTCACCTTCTTCCTCCTCACTGAATCTGGCTCCAGACACAGAAGGGGCCACCCTCCAGCCTTCCTGAGGTTAAGTTACTCAAAGAATGCAGCCCCACTGTCCACGCCCTGCCCCTCCCAATAAAACTGCAGAGCTTCACCACCTCACATCCAGAAAGAAAGGAGTGTGTAGGTGGGAAAAGTGACGGAAAAGTAGACACTGTGGAAACAGTGTGGAAACATTTTCCTTTCCTTTTTTATTAGAAGCTTTGATTAACTCAGAGATCTTCACATATTCCAACCAGTGCTCAGACCTTTCCAACAGATTCCTATCTCAGCAGAAAAATGAGGCCATTCCCTTGTGGCTACCTGTTTCCTATCTAGAGGTGTGTCTGTGAATCCCAGACTCCTGACTCTCCCTCCTCCCCGCCTCTGCCCTCGGCTGAGCACCAGGACTTCCTGGGGAGCACGGGACGCTCTGCTCAGGGCTCCGCAGTCACCTGCCTGGGAGAGGACCCGGAAAGATGGGTATGTGTGCAACTGAACCAATTTCCTGTGCCTCTGAAACTGACGCAAAACTGGAAAGCAACCACACTCTAACAGAAAAGAAAGATGAACTTTACAAATGAGGCTGCCCCCATGGCCTTCAAGGAGCCTCGATAACCTGGCCTCCACCCGCCTCCAGACCGCAGCCCTCTTCCTGACTCACTCCATTCCTGCTGCTCACGAATCCTGCCACCCTTCAATTTTAGAGGACAAACTTATATTCAAATGACAATAACTGATCCTTAAAATGAGAATTATGAGCAAATTGTTTGTAAAAAAGTTCTAAGTAAATAGCATAAAAACCAGTGGGAAGATCAAATCAAGAATAGTTTTGCTAAAGCTCACCACCTGAGTCCCAAATTAGGATTTAATGATAAGTAGATGAATCTGAAGAGTTGAGAGGCTTTAAGAATAAATGATTCAAGGCTAAAATGTTTCCCATATTAACTCAAATTGACATGAATAAAAGTAAAATTGTACCAACAAATATGACAAAAAGCTATGACAAGCTACTGAAGCCAAAGTACAATATATAAAATATAGCCTCTGGAAACCTAGAATTGACTATCAAGGTTATAATCCATGTAACTGAAGCTTAATTTCGAAATATTCATTTCAGGTTTCAGCATTTCATTTATCTGCTTCATCATGATACTGACATGTGGTAACATAAGATTAAAGTTATTACCTTAATAGTAAGAGAGTAAATTCCTAATACCTCTCTATGTTAACAATTTAGAACTGAATCTCAACATTTCATAAGTGACACCATGTCCCTACTCAAAGTAAAGCATTGCCTGGGTCTAATTTTTATTTGCTAGATGCAAGGTGTGCTTTTAGGCTGGTTTAGACACCACAGATTCACAGCCTATGTATTTTTTATATTTAACTAGATTCAACATTTAGCCAGAATCAAGAATCACTTTGAACTTTCTTTCAGGAAAACTGAGAATTTCTTCTTCTGGATACTCACTTCTCCTTCTGCTTTCTCATTTTTGTACTGATGCATTCTCTCTTTTAAATGATTACATTCTTTGGTTAACTCCTTGTTTCTTTCCTCCAGCATCAGACCTTGTTTCTCATGTTCAGCCTGAAGTCTTCTCACGACCTCCTGAAACTGGTCTTGGATGCTAATGACCGTCTTCTCCGTACTGTCGGCTCTCTTTTGTGCATCATCCAGTTGCTGTCGGAGCAACAAGTTTTCACTCTGGAGTTGAGATAATCTCTCCTCTAAGGATTCCTGCTTTCCAATATATTTACTCACTTTGCCTTGTTCCTTCTGATACATGTGTTCAATTTCCTGCTTTTGACACTCTGCTTGGCTTAGGTCTCTCTGGACACGTTCTAACGTCAAAGTCTTTTCTCTCAGATCATCTCTTGTGTGATGCAGCTTGATTTTCAGCTTATTGAATTCACTTTCCGCTGCAGACAGTTGCTGGGAAAGCATCTCATTGTTATCTTTTAGATGAGCCGCATCGGACTCCATTTTGTCCTGCAAGCATAACCACTCTTCTTTTACTCTCTGGAAGGCAAGTTCCAGATCTCTTTTTGATGTCTGACCTTGATCATGATCGTGTGAGGCAGCAGCCAGTCTAGAACGGTAGGATTTCACTTTCGTTTCCAGTCTTTGTTTGCTTTCTTTTTTGTTCTCCAGCTTCGAGTTTAGCATTGTATTCTCAGCTGTCAGAGCATTAAGCTGACCTGTACAGTGGGATACAGTCTGTGTTAACGTTTCCTCAGTCAATTTTACTGCCTTTTGAAGATCATCATTCTTTACTTTGAGAATTTCAATGTCCTCAAAATAGTTCTCTTCCTTTTCCCGGTGCTGATTTTTCACTGCGTCTCTTTGCAGTCTTAGCATGGCTATTTCAGCCTGCAGCATGTGGTTTTTGAGCAACAGGGCTTTTGCATCTTCACAACTATCAGAAACCTAAGTGAAACAAAGGAGATTTTTAGCTAGTACTCAAGTGACATTTCATGATTTCCTCTGAAATAAAGACTAACCTGATGTTTATACAATGAAAAGCCTGCACCTAGTGTGTTCCAACAGGAAAAAATAAGGTTCAATACAAACCTCAGACTTTATACAAGCAGAAATTCCCAAAGGTTCAAAAATTTCATGGAAGACAATGAATCCACAAAAGTCAAAAAGAAATCCCAAGAGACTTTTCAAGATGCTCAGAATTGGAAAGGCTTCTCTCCGAACCACAGCAAACCCAGAAGGCTTAAAAGAAAAGATTTATAGATCTGACTACACTTACAAATGGCATCTGATGTGGAATATTTATATAATGGAAAACTAGGAAGCCATAAAAAAGAATGAAATAATGCTATTTGCAGCAACATGGATGGACCTAGACATGATCACCCTAAGTAAAGTAAGTCAGACAGAGACAAGTATTATGTCATACTGCTTATACGGAGAATCTAAAATCAACTCATTCACACAACAGAAAGAGACTCACAGACACAGAAAACAAACTTATGGTCACCGCAGGGGAAAGCAGGGTAGGGGAAGGGATAAATTAGGATGTTAGGATTAACATATACACACTAGGAGATATAAAATAACCAACAGAGATCCACTATACAACATAAGGAACTACACTTAATATTCGGCAAGAAGAACCTGAAAAGGAATATCTGTGTATGTGTGAGTGTGTGTATGAGTGAGTGTGTATCAGTCACTTGGTCATGTACGACTCTTTGCGACCCCATGGACTGTAGCCTGCCAGGCTCCTCTGTCCATGGCATTTCCCAGGCAAGAATACTGGAGTGGGTAGCCATTTCCTTCTCCAGGGGATCTTCCCAACCCAAGGATTGAACCCACATGTCCTGCATTGCAGGCAGATTCTTTACAGTCCGAGCCAGCAGGGAAGCCCTATTTACATAAGACACACACACATATACATATACATCTGAATCACTGAGCTCTATACCTGAAACTAACACAATATTGTTCTTCAACTGGAATTCAATAACCACCACCACTTGCTAGGTTTATAAACACTGCATCCGATACCTCCTATGCGGCTACTTCACAGGAAGAGCCTGAACTCTGTATAAATAGACAAATTGTGTACAAAAAGGTTTTTCTTGAGAATATGCTACCTTCTAACATCTTAATAGGCAATTATAAGAATTACACCTATTGACAACTGTATCAAGCACTTCTACACACATCAATTAACTCATTAGCTGTACTGATTCTGGAAAGGAGAAACTTAAAAATGTGAGTAAGCTGCAGCCTTTTCATCAGGTCTTCGACTCTACTAGTCCTCTTATATCAAACCACAGTTACTTCTCTAGTACAAACATATAAATACAAAATAAGCCTCTTATTTCATTCATGGTACATACACAAACAGTAAATAAGGTAAAATTTAGAGTGCTCTTAGAAAACCATGAGATTATTTGCTGCTGCAATAACTTTCATTATCTCTCCATAACGTTCAAAAGAGTAACATGGGGGAAATACAATGAAAAACACTTAATAACTATCACTAAATATATATTATGGCATATCTATCACTGTTTTCAAAAGTTCCTTGTACTGAAACAGGACACTCACAGAGCAGAGGGCTCATTTTCTCACAAGTAGAAGAATGACATCCAAAATGTGGTCTCTGAACTGCCTATAGTTTCCTCCTTACCATGAGAAGAAGTGATAAACTAACTTAATGATCAATCAAGGAAGTGAAATCATTACCAAAACTCAGAATATCGATTATTAGTAGCAAGAGTTCCCCCCACCCTCCTTGGTTGGGGGGGCACTTTAATAACTTTATTCTAAAGAAACAACTTTTTAAAGTGTTCGAAACTGTTTTAACAACTGATGGCACAGTTTTTATAAACTGTAAAGCTATAAGTGATGTGAAAAGGCCGTTGACAGGGCATTGGTTACAGAAATGAGTGGAGCCAGGAGCGGGCTCCGACTGAGGCACGGAGGTGAGGACGGGCATGCGGTGACCGACGCGCTCACTACGAAGCAGAGGGACTCGGTCGGGTCGCGCCGTCGAAGGGGGAGCACACGTGGTCTGCCTGGCCTAAACCACAATCAGGGTCCCAGCTGTGTGAGATAGCCACAAAAGATCTGAGATCAATTCGTACGGAAAATATGAATGGCCTCTCCTTGGATCAGGCCATTGTATGTCCCTACCTGACTGCTGTAGACACATGGATTTGAATTACAAATACTACTTTCCCGAGCTCTCGCCGAGAGCTTTTTGTTGTGGGAGATATGCTGCTAGGACCTCGGATTGGAACCCGCTCCGTCTTTGAGAGGGACATCGGGTGTGGGAGCAAATTCCTCTGCTCTGAGATGCCACTCGAGAACTCTGCAGAATGAAGGACAACCAACTTCAAGAGTGTCTGGTTTTTACCAACTGCTGGAGAGAAATCCACGGGGAGCATTCCTGCACCTCTCGAGGACGCCCGTTAACACCTGTCCTTGAGGACTCTACTGTGAGAGAAACTCAGCTGGGAAAGCTGGAGCCAGCTCTGAGCTGTTCACGGGGCAGGTGGACTGGAGGGCTGACGGGCACAGAGGGAGGGGGTCCACGACCCTCAGCACCTGCCAGACCGAAGGCCAGAGGCAACGTGATGTGAAATTAGGCACGATGGTCCCTCCCACTGCCCCTTCTCTTCTAGACCTATTTACTCATGAATGCTCCGTCAAGGCTGAAGGATCTGTCGCCTGAGGTGGGCTGAGAGCTTAACCTCCAGTTTCCACACCAATCTCAACCCTCTGGTTCCTCAGGATCTACTGTGTGAGCTACTGACATGACCTCTTCCGCCCTCTGCTCGAAAAAGTGCACCCAGCATGTCAGGATTATACAATTCTTATTTCCAGCCTGGTTACTTTGGGAATTTTGCATTTCTTTTCTTTTCTTTTTAACAAGTAACCTAAAATTTCCTGTAACACTCAACAAAATGATACTATAAATAATATTGATGAAATAGGATTAGAAATTTGAAACTTTCACCAAAGATTACTCTACCTGGTTCAGAGGATTTCTGTCCATCTTCAGTTTCATTTCCAGTGCTCGGAAAGTGAGTGCTAGTCGCTCTGTCACTTCAACTTCTTTACTATGTTCGTCTTCTTTCCTTCTTAACTGCTCCCTCATTGTTTCATATAACAGATTGGCATTTCTTCTATTCTCTTCCTCTTGTTTTAAGGTGAACCTGCAAAATTTAGAGCTCTTCTTAGAATATCATGAGATTATCTACTGCTGCAATAACTTTTGTTCCCTCTTCACAATGTTTAAAATAGTAAACATGGGGGGAGTACAATGAAAAACACTTGATAATGGTCACTATTTGCAGACAGAGGGTTAAGAATAAAACTGCATACAATTTTGTTTTCATTTTCTCTTGGGAATAATGGCTACTTCATACATCTGCGGGTGGGAATGTAAAGTAATATAAACTTTCCTATGAATAATTTAGAAACATAGATCACAGGCCTTTTTTAAGTTCTCATATTTTAACCAATTAATACAATATTATTCAAGATAATGTACTCAAAATCATTAGAAAGGTAGAAATGAATTCATAGAAAAGATGCTCCTTGTAGTATTAACTAGAATACAGAAAACTGAAAAAAAACTGGAAGTCAATTTGGTAAATATTTAATGGGGATTCCGTGATAGTGGACTTCTGTATGATCATGAAAATGATGATTTGGAAAAATATATATTAAGTTATTAGAAGCTTTCACTGTTAAGAACTTGCTATATTATTTCCAAGAAAATCACACTCCACAATACTAATGACGTTTCCTCCCCTGTAAAATTCCAGAGGGTAAATTAGGAATTATAACACATCAATGTCCCTGCAGTATTAAAGTAAGTAACAGTTCAAAGATTTCTTTCAAACCGAGATGTACAGTACCTCAACCTGCCGAACTCTCGTTCCCAGTCCACTCTCTGATGCTCTAACTGTGATTTCACTTCTTTTGTTTCTGACAGCTCTTTCTGTAGCCCACTAACCTTACTTTCCATTTTTTTAATCTTTTCTCTAAGCAGTTCACAGCGGCTTTTGTAAAGTGCTACTAATCTTTCATACGAAAAAATTGTATTCCGGATTTTCAACAAGCTAACAGAATCTGCATGATGAAGAAAACAAAGATAAAAACAAAAAAAATTTTATGTGAGTCATTTTTGAGTATAAAGGATGGGGCCTTTCACGTTCACTCATCCACGCATTGAACAAATATTGAGTGTCTATAATGTGGAAGGTATTATTCTAAGCTCTGCAGATAAAATAGATGCCCCTGGCTCTTGTTTAGCTTGAAGTCTAGCAGAAGAGAAAGACAAATAAAATAATTATGACCTCAGACAGATACTCTAGAAAAGAGAGTTCTAGGATCACATAACAGAACTTGACATAGACTGGGTCCAGGAAAGAGCTCCCTGGGGAAGAGATGTCACACTGAGACAGGAAGGATGCGCAGGAAGTAGTGAGCAGAGCAGGAAGAACAACACTGTGGACAGTCTGCAGCTGCCACGTGTTTCTAACCAAGACAGAGTGAACAGCTACCGATTTACCTTCCTGACTGAAGTGAGCAAAAATAACACCGACAAAATACGTTAACCAATGATTTTCATGACAAAGGCCTTCAGGGCATGAAGAACAATCATCCCGGAAACACATGAGGTTGGCCTAAGGAACGCCCCTGCTCACTGCCTTGAGACGATTTCCAGGCCCCAACACGGGTGGGAAGGAACAGAAGCTGAGTCAGCCAGACTCCCTGACAGGAGGTGATGAAGCTGACAGTCTGGTGAAACCAAAGCGGGCAGAGATCACAGATCTGAACCGTGGAGAGGAGACAGTGGAACAGAAAAAGGACCCTGGAGATCTGAGGGGGAGCCCCTCGGGTATTCAGCAGAGGAACGCACAGCGCCCATCTGTGAGAAACCACCTGAGACCAGGGAGAAACCACCTGAACAGACTACAGGAACCCGAGCCTGGTGCTCACTCAGCCCCAGGAATTCTGTCTATTCTCCTGAGCCAGGCTGGGAAAACATCTCCTTACAGTAGAACGAACAGGGTAGTCAGGAAGGTCTTGCCTCCAAGGCAGGAAATAATCAGCCACAGCCACAGGGCCCCTCTGGATGCACCTAACAAATCATAAGAAGCAAGAGCACAGAAGGACCTCGGGAAAACTCTCCATCTTTGGAAACAAAATCACACGGATCAAAATAATCCTTGGATCAAAGAGGTAATGAAAAGAAGAATTACACAGTATTTTGAACTGAAGGGAAATGAAAACATTAAGATCAGCAGACATTTTAGGAAATTAACACGCTGATTCTAAAATTCATGTAGAATGAAGGGTAAAAATAAAACCAGATGATGCTAGACAATTGTGACCTCTAACCATGCAGCAAAGAGAAGCAACACGTGGGTTACATGATAAGATCTGAATTTTTTAAAATAGTTAATAATTAAAGTTGCTGTGCAGACCGAGGTCCCTCAAGGTGGAGTGGCAGAGAAAGAAGTTCTGAGATTATTTCAGTTATTCTAGGAGGAAAATGATGCTAACCTGACCTTGAGTGAAGGCACAGGAAAGAACAATCAACAGAAGGTGCAATGAGTGAGGAGGATCACAGGCCTGTGGTCAGAGCACACGCTCGCTGTCATGTTCTTTTAACACAGAACATACTTCTGAGAGGACAGCCTGTAACATATCCCTGGCTCTAGACCAGTACTGACAAGGTGTGCATATATCACTACTCTATACACAGACAGGCTTTCTGTTAACATTTACACTGCAGTCCTACCTTTTCGCCCCAAGTCAAGTGGTTCCACTTGCAACATGGAATCCGTAGAGTAAAGCACGTCGCCATCCTCAGAAACATTCTCAGACGACTGAGGTAAGTCATCCAGGTGGTTCACGTAATCAGTTTGTTCTTTGACCTACACATAAATAATATTGTCTCACAATGTCCTTAAAATATGTATAAAATATACTAAGTGTACAGAGGTGCTAAATCTCTTCATCAAAGCAAAAACACACACTTCTTAAAAGATTTTTATCAAAAGGATAACGTTATCAGTAGTGTTTCTAAATGATGAGTTCAGTAATGTTCTCTACAACAAAGGAAGATTTTCTATTTTGCACTATTACCTTCACAAAGTATTTTTTACTAGGATAATATTTTTTAAAATTAGTATTATTATTTTTTACTATACCTTCTTCTTTTCACATGGTGGTATTCTTGCAGGCCTAAAAAGACAAATGATTCTTTTCAGGCTAATAGCAAATACTCAAAAATACAAACAATACCTAAACTTCTCTGCCTTAGATAAACTCTTTGCATTGGTAAGTAATTTTCTATAAAAGGATGCAACAATTAGTAAGAGGAGCATTAAAGGACAAAGAACATATGTCAATACTATTAATGAAGCATTAAATTTAGATCCAAGGAAAAGGAAAAACAACGTTACTTGCGTTATGTGATAGAAAGCGGTATACCAGGGTGTTTTGCACCTGTCATTTTCAATAAGAACTAACTTTTATGGCAATAAAACCTATCTGGGAGATATTCCTTAAGTCCTTCTAAGAAAGAAACCCATTTTGAATAACCATGATATTAGCTTTTGGAGGACTTCCTAGGCAACTGCTGTGCATTATTATAAGCACTGACATGTCTCACAGGCATTTTCCTCCTCACAGTCATTCTGAGAGAGAGGTATAGGGAGAAACGGAGCACAGTGAGGCTGAGGAACGCGCCCAAACCCACTCAGCACGTCACCAACCACCCAGAATCCAAACCCAGCAAGTCTGGCTTCAATGCTGCTCTTCCAAAATGTGCTGAGAAAGTAATATTGAAAAGTCTTTTTAAGTAACATGATGGCAAACGAATCTATAGTATTACTCCATGTCTAGCTATAACTAGAAATAATGATTTCTAAATCCTAAAACGTATTGCTCAAAAAATAAAAAGACCAGATGGAGGCAAGACTGGAAATCTACTTTCAATAAAGATTTGTTTTTCATTAAGAAATTCATCAATAGGCATTCATTCAACCATTCTGCTGTTTCTTCATGCATCTGACATCCACCTTTTGAGAACACAATATGTGTTAATGACACTCTTAGGACAGGAAGCATGGTTTTAGTCATTTAGATCTTTATCATCCAAAAGGCATAATCTGTGAAAGATTGTTAATAATTTTTTTTCTATTTTATATAAACAAAATCTTCCCCTTCTCCCTGGAATCCGTAAATAGCTATGAAGTTAATATGACGTGATGTTTCAGAGTACCTTACAAAATCATAGCTACTCATCAAGTTACTATCAACTAGAATCATCAAGGAATGATCAAATCTTATTCAGTATAGCCTAAATGTTTGTAAATTCACAATCATGTAATTTTTTGAAAATCTACGTGTGATAGAATTAACTTAAGTAGTTATCCGCATATTCAATTACATAGGAATATTACACTTCAGAACCAATGAACAAGCCCTTACCATAAAACTATATATGAGCAGAAGTATTATGGACAATTAGTTTACTGTACTAGTTTGAAGATCATGTCATGCAATCAATAAACTTTCTAATATTGGACATGCAAGCAAGATTAAATGAACATGTCCTCTGCTGGTTCACTTCCAATAGCATACACACTCTGAAAGCTCCCCTCTTCACATAAAACAAGAAACTCCTTTGAGCTCCACATCCCTCTTCAGTTACCATCCAGTTCTTCAGTGCCTGTCCCAATAATATCCCCTACGCAGCTGTTTACCTGTATTCACTACAGGCCAGCTTCCAAGGGGACTCTTCACTGGAACAACTTCCGGCCAAAGGCACTGGTCCTCACCTTAGCCTTTCAGCAACTCTCACCTACAGTTCGTCCACTGTATTGAGGAACGTCTTGTCTTGGCCTGTGCACTGCATTATGCTACTCTATTTCCAGCAGAAGTAGTCAGGGCTAATATTACTTACCCTACAAACAAAGAATGCGTAGAACGTACCTGTCATCATCTTCATCCACTTTGTTGTCATCGTTCACGAGCAGCAGCCCACCAGTCAGTGAACCGGCCTTTTCAAATACTGGTGCAATCACACAGTCTTCTGGTGTCCATCCATCATTTTTCTTTTTCTTTACTTTCTTCCCGTGCACGCCAGGATTGCTACTTTTAAAAGATTCACAAAGAAGCCAATGTTTTCTAATAATTCAACTGATAAAGAATAAAAAAACAATGCTTGCAAAATTCCAAGTCTTACCCATCTTAAGTCATTGATTAACTCTCAAAACAGTTATGAAGTACCCACCATACGCAAGAAAACAAATTCTTCCTTCAAACACAAATATACAATTATGATACAATATGATATGTAACAGTTGACATATGAAAGTCATAAGTGGAAGAAGGAAGGATTTACAGAAGAAGTGAAGAGAGGAGGTCATGAGAAACAGAAAAGGGAGAGAATCTTTCTACTTGGAGATTCGAATGTGAGCACAAACATCAGGCACAGGGCATCTAGGTTGTTTCCGAGGAACCTGGAAGGAAGAGCACAAAATACATGGAAGAAAGCAGAGAGATGCATCTGGAAAGACACTGGGAAGAACCTCAAGGGCTACACTGAGAACCTGGGGATTTACACTATAGCTTTACACTACATTTTCTGTTTTGCTTCTAAATATAATAATGGTGAATTTAGGGATTTTCCTGCTGGTCCAGTGCTTAGGAGTCCAATACAGGGGGTGGCAGTTCAATTCCTTGTCAGGGAAGATCCTACATGCCACAGTGCAACTAAACCCATGCTCCACAACTACTGAAGCCAGCACCCTAGAGCCCACGCTCAGCATCAAGAGAAGCCACCACAATGAGAAGCCCAGGCTCTGCAAAAGCAGAGAAGCAGTGCAGCCAGAAATAAATTAAAAAGAGAATTCAAAGAAAAAAGTAACACTTTAGATGATATGCTAAACGACATGAGGTACATATACCATGAAAGAAGAAATCAAGGAGATATCTGGCCAGAGTCGGGGGAGTTTACTTTTAAACCACCCACATGACGGGGTGACATGAGCATCATGGCTGAGAAACAGGTGCCTCATCGGTTTTCCCGCCACCAACAGCAATTTGGCCTCCATCCATGGACATACTCAAAGTGCTAGGAGAAAAAAACTGCCAACCAAGAGTACTCTATCCAGAAAAGTTGTCTTTCAGAAATGAAGGAGAAATAAAAACTTTCCCAGACAAAGCAAACCTGACGGAGTTCATCACCACTAGTCCCGCCTCATAAGAAATGCTGAAAGAAGTCCTCGAACTGAAATGAAAGGATGTTCATTAGTGACATAAAACAAATTTAAATATACAACACACTGGTTAAGGCAAGTATGCAGTCAAATCCAGAATACTCTAATACTATAACATGGTATTCTATTAACAAAGTAACTCTAGTATTGAGGCTAAAGGACAAGAGTATTGAAAATAACTCTATCCCTAGTAAAATATAACATGTGTAAATCACAAACATTGGCTCAAGTGAGAAATCATTTTATAGGAAAATAACAAATGACCTGATGTTAAATATTGATACAGGATTACCTATCAAAATGTTCATTCTCCATAGCAGTACACTCCTGGTTGCTGTTTCTTCCACTCTTTAATCCACTCTCATCAGCAGCATCACATTCGTTGTCTGGGATGTCCACTTCACGACTTTCCCGCTTCTTTTCTTCTTCACCCTTTAGTAAAAATTGGACACTATGAATAATTGCTACTTTTTTATCATAAAGATCTTTCTTTTCAATTTCATTATTTGCCTCAGCGTTTGCCCTGAATTTAAGTGATAAAAATATTTTTGTGCTTATTGTAATTTTATCATTTACAAGTCATTGAAATTTTTGTAAAATCTGCTCCTTTCTGTTTGAGGAAAAGAAACAAAATTCCCAAAATTTCAAAAACAGCTTTCTTAATAAGATGCAATTATTCACACTCAGTCTTCCCCATCTAACTGGTGGAGACACAGAAATAAAAAGACAAAGACACAAAATCTGTCCTCTTTGGTCTTTACCACCTGGATTTTCCATTAAACAGCCAGATGTAGAGGATGTGACACCTTACTGCCTCAGAGACAGAAAGGAAACATTCTTCTTTCTGCACTAAAGCTGTTCTTTTCCCTCTGCCTTTTACAATTCTTTTTTTCATTTGGATCCGGGAGATAACCAAAAAGTGATCAGTTCAGTTCAGTTGCTAAGCCATGTCCGACTCTTTGCGACCCCATGAACCATAGCACACCAGGCCTCCCTGTCTGTCACCAACTCCCGGAGTCCACCCAAACCCATGTCCGTTGAGTCGGTGATGCCATTCAACCATCTCATCCTCTGTCGTCCCCTTCTCCTCCTGCTTTCAATCTTTCCCAGCATCAGGGTCTTTTCCAATGAGTCAGCTCTTCACATCAGGTGGCCAAAGGATTGGAGTTTCAGCTTCAACATCAGTCTTTCCAGTGAACNTGTGATCCACACAGTCAAAGGCTTTGGCATAGTCAATAAAGCAGAAATAGATGTTTTTCTGGAACTCTCTTGCTTTTTCGATGATCAGCGGATGGTGTTCACTAAAATATGAACCAAAGTTTACCAAATACCAGGAGCAGAATGAAACTGAGGACTTGTTAGTTAGTGTGGAATTCTGGAATATAAGTAATGCTTCTCAATTCCACATGCAATAACCACCAAACCTTACAGCTAGAGGGTATAGAAATAATTGCCGATTGTTGCCCCACTATTTACCAAAAACAGCAATAAAATCAAAAAAAGTTCAAGGTTTTGTTCAAAGCCCCTAAAGTGGTACTCCCTAGCATTTTATGGCACCAAAAGAAATCATACAATTCTGCTACCTTGAATGTGATAAATTACCAAATGAATTCATCAGATTAATCAGACAAGTTAAAAGTGTGGCTTTGGCACAGTATTTTTAAATGCCTTAGCTGGGGATAGGGCTCATGTCCTTTTTTTTTTTTTAACACAAGAATACATAGAGTTTTTTTCTTTCTTTCCTTGTCCATTTTCAAACTCCATCAAAGCACCTCTTACACAAAAGAGTAAGCAAACAATTTTAAAAACCTATTACTGAAGAAAGAAAAATCTCACAGCATCTCAAAACTCAGTTTTCTCCTTTGGAGATAAACACTTAATTCTTTTTTTTCTTTTTTGCTGAGCATTTATACTACACCTAAGGGCTTCCCTGGTGGCTTAAATATTAAAGAATCCACCTTCACTGCAGGAGACGTAGGTTCGGAAGATCCCCTGGAGAAGGGAATAGCTACCTACTCTGGTATTCCATGGACAGAGGAGCATGGCAGGCTACAGTCCAAGGGCTCGCCAAGAGTCAGACACGACTGAGCAACTTTCACACACACACACACACACAACCTATGTGACAAAATCACACACGTCAAAACTTACATTTTAGTAAAAAACATAATGGAAAGGTCTGTCTCAAAAGAAACATCTGAGAGTGGTGATTAAAGCATATGTGGGAGGACATGTATTTGTTATTAAAAAGATCCTGAAGCGGCCATGTTGGAAATCTAAATGCCCAGTGACTGCGGAAAGCAGAGATCACACATATTCCTCTACAATGAAGAGATTAGAGGCAACACGTGTTTATGTCCCTTCTCCCAGTCCCTGCTTTCTTCCCATTCTATGGAAATACAACATATTTAATCCAACAGAGTTAAAGAAAAAGAAAAACAAAATGCAAAACCCTAGCTGATTATACTTAAGCGATTTCCTTGGTGCTTATTCTGGCTCAGAAGATCACATGATACATAGCTAAATGAGTTTCCCAGTCCACAGAGACAGAGACTGACAGAGACAGAATTAGATATTAGATTGATTGAAGGACAAGAGCCATGAAAATAGTTTCCTGAATTCCTCTTATTGAGATGGCAGAAATCATCTATTTCTACACAATTACCTATTTAGATGACCCCACTTTATTCATAAGTGGAAAATCAAAAGGGACCAGATCATCAAGAAAGAGAAAAACCAAAGCAAGAGCAAATGAACCTCTCTTTTGAAAGTTGAATTTTCTTCTTCCTAAGCCAGCAACTCTACCTGTAACATGTCTATTTCCTCCTTACATCTCTACATATCCTTCTGTAATTCTTCATTTACATACACTTTGGATGTTCTGTGACTTTTCGGTGGAGAACTCCCATTTTCTAATTCGGGTTCCATGCTTTTACCCTTACTAGCACTACAATTATCCGCACGCAGTGGCTTCTGGAACCAGTCCTGTATTGGTTTGCTTTTCTGACCAGTATTTGTAACAGCAGCAAACAACTTTTGATTTGAATAATGTGTGTCACCGTCCCGGAGTGGACAAGCCACAGACTAGACTGATGTGTCGGTCCGATGTCTCATTTACAATTAGTAGGATTTTGCCTCATATTTGGTGACATTTGCATATCAAACGCTTGGTCTTCTTTCACTTCAGAAGTAACTACCGGGTCTCCTACTTTTTTATTTTCTATACCATTATAAAAGCTCTCCTCAATTTTGATAAACACGCACTCGATGTCTAATTGATCATTTTCAATGTCTAGTTTATTTTCAGTGAAACAAAGCTTTGAAGATGACTGACAAGCATATCCCAGGGACCCAGAGTTTACAGACAATGGAAAAACATTTTCAAGACTGGGTTCTTCTTGTTCAGGAAATGCCTAGAACACTAGACAGCTAGAAACTCCCAACGCATCTCTAGGAGCTCTTTCCTCTCTGTTCACTCCTTTGTCAGGGTTATCACGGGGTGGATCTCCCTCAGGACAAACAGTAGTTTTCTACTGCTCACAAATTTCACCAAACTGCTGCTTTAACTCATTTCTGATGGGTTTTAACTTATCTTTATATTCTAATTTGCCTTGTTTGATACACATTTTCTCAGACAGTATTAAACCAGAAGTTGAAATTTACAGTTTTACATACCTGTGAATGGTTATTTCCAATTCTATCAAGTTTTTCTTGTTCTTCCTCTGATATCATTTCCAAGTCTAGTTCTGCTGACAAACCTGCATGTTTAGTTAAGATTACTTACAATGTTTAGGTAAGAGACATAATCTTCATTTAAAACGTAGATCTAAAACATTGTATCAAATGACAGCTTAAGTCAACCTTAATCTTCAGCTGAATATTTACTTCTTTAATACTTCCAATGATCGAAAAATTTCAACAAACAATTTGGGAAATACCAGATGTCACCAGGTTACAGGCACACAAGCAGCTCAAAGATCCATTCACAGATTCAGCCAACCATCAGTGGACAAAACAGTCAGAAACCAAACAAAATTTCAAAATATAGGACAGACATAAAAAGGTGCTATACATTCTCTTCTTTACTTCATAACAGTACCTTCTTAACAACATGCCAAGCTTCAACTACAACATTACTCATGGTTTACAAAATTCCTCTTCCTTTTTATGCTTTTATCAGTTCCTTAATCTGAAATGCTTCCCTGTACTCTTCTGACAAATTACTTTTCATCTTTTAAGACTCAACCTGCTTTGTGAAGTTGTCTTTGATTACATCTATCTTTCCCCAGATAAAGAGGTATCTCTTTCCTTGTAGCTACCTTAGTACTTTAAACATTTTTCTAGTGTATCTTTCTAGATTTTCCTAGTGATAGACACACATCTGAACTGTAAATTATTTCCTCACATGCCCATCCTCTTGGCTCCTAAACTGCAGAGGAGAAGCTCTTAAAAATCACCTTGGTATAGACAGCCAACAGGAATTTATTGTATGGCTCAGGAAACTCAAACAGGGGTCTGTATCAACCTAGAGGGATGGGATGGGGAGGGAGATGGGAGGGAGCTTCAAAAGGGAGGGGAGATATGTATACCTATGGCTGATTCATGCTGATGTTTGACAGAAAACAACAAAATTCTGCAATTATCCTTCAATTAAAAAAATAAATTTAAGAAATCACCTTGGTATAGTCTTTATTTCTTTTATTTAATAATTATTTCTCAGGTTTCTGCTCAGGACTAGACACTGGAGTTTAAAGAAAAATGTAGATAAGAGGTGTCAGGGATGGCTTTTATAGAGACACTGCCTGAGTGCAGACGTCCAGGGCACAGAGGGCAGGAGGGGAGAGCACTGAAGCCTGCCGCACGACGGGAGAGGAGCAGGAGCACCACAGGGCAGATGTCTGTCCAAGTGCAGGGACGGGGACTGACAACGATCACAGCGTCCGGCCCCATCACGTCGTGGCAAAGAGATGGAGAAACAATGGGAACAGTGGCACACTTTGGGCTCATAGATCAATGCAGATGGTGACTGCAGCCATGAAATTCAAAGACACTTGCTCCTTGGAAGAAAAGATGTGACAAACGTTGACAGCATATTAAAAAACAGAGACGTTACTTTGCTGACAAAGGTCTGTCTAGTCAAAGCTGTGGTTTTTCCAGGAGTCATGTATGGATGTCAGAGTTGGACCATAAAGAGGACTGAATGCCAAAGAACTGATGTTTTTCAACTGTGGTGTTGGAGAAGACTCTTGAGAGTCCCTTGGACTGCAAGGAGATCAAACCAGTCAGTCATAAAGGAGATCAGTGCTGAATCTTCATTGGAAGGACTGACGCTGACACGAAGCTCCAATACTTTGGCCACCTGATTTGAAGAACTGACTCACTGGAAAAGACTCTGATGCTGGGAAAGATTGAAGTCAGGAGGAGAAGGGGATGACAGAGGTAGAGATGGTTGGATGGCATCACCAGCTCCATAAACATGAGTTTGAGCAAGCTCCGGGAGATGGTGAAGAACAGGGAAGCCTGGTGTGCTGCAATCCATGGGGTCACAGAGAGTCAGGCATGACCGAGCGACTGAACAACAACAGGAACAGGTGAGGAGGGCATAAACAGCAGTTCAGAATTCCAGGACAAAGGACAGAAAGAGCTAGAGATGGAGAGTCAGGCAGAAGTCATAGTATGAAAGCATCAATGTCGCTTTAAGAGGTCTAGACATTAATGTGATTCAGAGTGCTTCATGCTCAGGTGTGTTTTTGACATTGCTGACTAAATGCTAAGGGAGGGATGAAATTGAAGAGCATACGAATAAAATAAGGAAGATGAATCTAAAGGCATTAATAGTGGGGGAAAAAAGTGGATGCAGGCCTAGAAGAGGGAGTGTTTCCAGAAATATTTAGGATATAAAACTTTCAGGGTCTAGTATAGAATAAATCTTTAAGAAACCAACAAATGTACAAATCCTGGGACTCTGAAGGAGTAGATTCAGCTTGGTATTTTATAAAAGGTATCAACTGAGAAGAGAAACAATCAACAAGAACTCAATGAACTTGCTTCTATTTATTTTGTAGTTTTCCTACTTCACACTGTCCACTGTTGAAGGGACTCATGTAGCCGTTTTACTTGAATCTGTGTTTTCTGGACTTACCAAGCTCATGGAGAAACAAGAGCAAATGACTCAGTTACATAGATTAAAAAAAAAAAGACAAACACTTTGAGTTGAGAGCTTGCAGTCACTATTCTAGGAGATAACTGAGAATCTTTTGTAAATGCAAAGGTGAGGGTAGAAACGAAAAAACTACAGGAGTGTAAAAAGAAACAGTGTATGATTTCTTACTATTGTCCTGACCATATGACTGATTAAAGGCGCTAAATTAATTAGTATTTATGGACAACACATTATTAGACGGGATTACTCAGTAGACTGGGCATCCTAGTAGAATCAGAATTGACTTTCTGTATACTGCTTTGAAATGATACAGCACTCCTTCAAACCAACATCCCTTGTGAACTCTTAATTCACTACAAATAATAAAACAAGTTGATATACTATGTGCACACAGCTGAGAAGGACAAACATCAGTGAACAAAACAATCAGAAACCAAACAAAATACACAACAGACATTTTAGTCACCATATATTCTCTTCTCTACTTCATAACAGGACCTTTTTAACAACATGCCAAGCATCAACTGCAACATTATTCATGGTTTACAAAATGCCTCTTACTTATTAGTTTTTACCTGTTCCTTCATCTGAAATGCTTCCCTCTATTCTTCTGACGAAATACTTTTCATCTTTTAAGGCTCAACCTGCTTTGTGAAGTTAACCTTGGTTAACTCAAGGTTTGAGAGTAATTAGCTTCAGGTGAAACCAGGGGTCATGGCAACACAGCATTTTAAGAGAAACCTCCTTTTAAATGTGTATAGAGAAGGAAAAAGATATCGCTGGTTTGTTTCCTCCTGCCACTTAAGAGAGATAAAAATGTCTGGCACCTGCAGCCTATTTCCTCCATTTGGAGACCCCTGGCCTTCCTGCCTGTTACCCTTTCACTAGGGCATACACGGGCATGTGAGACTGAGTCAGGTCACCCAAGAGAATGCGAGGATGTGTGAGTGTGTGCGAGTACGTGCAAGAGAATATGAAGGAGTGCGAGTGTGTGCGAGGACGTGTGAAAGTATGCAAGGGCATGTGAGGATGTGTGAAAGCGGAGGAGGGCATGAGAGAGCTTGCGACAGTGTGTGAGAACATGCAAGGATGCAAGGACTTGCAAGAGGGTGCAAGGACATGCAAGGGCATGCAATGCCATGCAATAGCATGTGAGGTCGTGCAACGGTGTGTGAGGATGTGCGAGAGCATTTGACAATGTGCAAGAGAGTGCAAGGGTGTGCAGGGGTGTGTGTGGATGTTTGAGGATGTGCTAGGGCATGGGGAAAGGTGCTAAGGTGTGCAAGTGTGTGCAAGGGCATGCAAGGAGGTGTGTGGCTGTGCAAGAGTATGCATGTGCATGTGAAAGCATTCGATAGTGTATGAGGACGTGTGAGTGTGTGGGAGTGCCTGCAAGGGTATGCAAGGGCAGGTGAGGTCATGCGAGGGCCTGCGAGAGTATGTGAGGGCATGTGAGGGTGTGAGAGGATGTGAGAGACTGTTCAACAATGTGTGAGAGAACGCAAGGGCATGAAGGGGTGTGCGAGGGTGCTTGAGGACATGTTAGGTCATGGGAGGACATGCTAGGGTGTGCGAGTGCATGTGAGGTGTGTGGCTGTGTGAGATACATATGTGAGTGAGAGAGTATTCAAGGGCATCTGAGGGTGTGAGAGGATGTGTGAGGGTGTTCAAGGGTGTGAGGGCATGTGAGAGCATGTGAGGACATTCAAGGGCATGTGAGGGCTTGTAAGGGTGTGCAAGGAAGTGTGAGGATGTGCAACCCCATGTGAGGGTGTGCGATGATGTGCAAGAGTGGGTGAGCAAGTGTGAGGGCATCAAGAGCATATGAGTCCACGTGAGAGTGTGCAAGTGTACGGGAGGATGTGCAAGAGTGTGCAATGGTGTGTGATGGCATGCCAGGTTATGTGAGGCACCCTCTGTGCGACCCCCTGGACTGTAGCCCACCAGATTCCTCTGTCCCTGGGATTCTCCAGGCAAGAATACTGGAGTGGGTTGCCATGCCCTCCTCCAGGGGATCTTCCCGACCCAAAATTGAATTCCCATCTCTTACATCTTCTGCACTGGCAGGCAGGTTCTTTTCCACTAGAGCCACCTGGGAAGCCTCCCAGGGCTGGGATCTTCTTTAAAAAAGGATAATCCCTCCTGTTCATGTGAAAGTTCTGTTTCTGTGACACCCCAAGTCTCAATCACTTCTTGTATCAGGGCAGCAGAGACTGCTAGCTGTCTACTCCAATACCTTTCTTCCTTTCTGAGAACTCTCAAACCAGACAAGGTCAGCCCAAGAAAGGAACATCAAAAATTAATCTCCTTTATGAGCAAACATGGAAAAGTCCTGAATGAAACACATGCATCACTTCCACTTACATTTCACTGGACAGAACATACATGTCAAGCTGCAAAGAAGACTAGAAAATATATTCTTTACTCCAGGCAGTGTTGTGCCCCATTAAAAACTGGTTTTAAATTCTCGATGAAGTCATTTCCACCCTCTCTCCATTCAGAAACAAGGTCAAGATGAAGCAAGTTTCCTTACTGGCCACTTGTGTGATGTGCATTTATTTCTGCTTTACCCTGACACAAGGACTTAGCATTTTGCAGGCTCAGCTTCACAGAGAGGTTTCCTACTAAACTCTGTGATGGTTTGTCACCTATCCTCCTGCATTACAGTCAAGTAT